AGTTTAAAGTAGAACTCATCCAGAGGGGCCAGCCAAGTCACCTAGAAACCCAGAAAAGACGAAGCTGGTTCTGGGGGAGGAGGGGTCAGTCAAGGAGCAGTGTGCCCTGCAGGCCTCTTTGCCCCAGGCTCTCAGCCCGCTAAGGGGAGTCCTGCCTGGAACCGGCTCTCCTCAAATCCCAACCGCGTGGGACACCAACCCTAACCTCAGGGATCTCCCTGTCTCTGGCCAAGGCCCTGTGAGGTGTGATTATTCTCCACTGGAGGCCCAGAGAGGGGAAGGGACTTGCCCAAGGTCACACAGCTCTGTAGGAGGTTTTCAGCCCTGTGTCCTGAGGTCAGCTTGTGATCCCTCCACTCCTTGCCCCTGAGGAGAAAAAGAAAGGGGGTCGGGACTTGTCATCCTCATCTCTCAGCAAAGCCGCAGAGCGGTGCCCCTCAGAGACCAGGGGCCACTCTCCTGGGCACAGCCAGGCATGCAGGGTGGACACTGGCCTCTGCTCCCACAGGACCTAGTCTCTCTGTGCCTCCGTCACTGGTCCAGAATTAAATAAACAAATGGGTGGGTAACCTATGACCCCTGGCTACAGGAAGCTGGGCATCTAAAGGATGGCTAGCAGGGTGTGGGGGCATCAGGGAGAAAGGAGGAAAGGGCATGGATCTACTCAGGGGCGGGGTGCCTGCCAGCCAGCGCCTGAGCTTAGGGGTCTGAGCGGTGGGCCTAGGCCTCGGACAGGAGCACCTCATGGGAGCACTGGGCAGTAGCTCCTTCAAAAACAGAGACTTTCTCCTGGGCCTGAGCCTCTCCTCCCACCCAAGTCTCCTGAGGCCAGGGCTGCCCCCATTAAAGGGCTCCCTCCTCCTCGGACACTTTCTTCCAGCCTTGGTAATGGTAATAGGGTTTCTCGGCAAGCCTTTCTGGCCTCTACCTTCGATTAAGGGAGCGGTCACGGCCCACGGGACCCTCCCAGGGCCTCTGCTTCAAGGAGGCACTGAAAGCAGCCTGAGCTGATGGAGCACTCTGGTGGAGGGGAGCTGGGACCCCAGGAAGGGTGGGGCTGGGGAGGCCACAGCCTGAGGCTGGAAGGATGAGGAGCAGCCATGGCGGCACCCTCCAGTCCCAGGGGGAGTCGGGCAGGAAGTCTAGGGCTGGGATGTGGGCACGGAGCACTGAGCGCTCAGCCCCCCAACATTGGAGGTCAGTAGAAGCAGCCCCTGGAGGAGCCTCAGGGTAGGTAAGTGACTTGCCCATGTCTTCGAACCCTACTGGGCAGGATGTGAACGAACCCAGGTTCTGTGCAAGGCAGCCCAGCCTCCGAGAAGGCTGCGGGCCAGCATGGCCATCTGCACTCACTCTCTCAGTGTGGGTGGCCATGGGAAGGGACTGATGGACAGGGAGTTGGCCCCAGGAATCTGGGAGTGCCCTGGGGGTGGCATCGGAGGTGGAGAGAGGGGAAGATAGGAAGGGCATACTGGATCCTCCCTGTTCTGCCCAGAGAACCCACAGGGGTTTTCCCCATGAAATTTGGACGTGACAGGAAGGTCAGCCTCTGGGTCACAGCACCTGGAGGGCAGAGCTAGGGCTGGTACCTAGGTCTTCATGGCCTCTAGGCCCCACTCCCACAGCAGGCTGTGGTATACCCCCTCCTTAACCGGGAGGACTCCAAGGCCCTAATCAATGTTCCCGTTCAGAAAGAGTAGACCGGTGGTAAGATGGAGTGTGCTGGGGAATTTGGACTTGGGTAAATTGCCCCTCCTAACAGTCCAGGCTCACAGCAGGAGGTCAGGAAGCCAGGCCAGAAATGGGGTTCCTGGTGGAAAGGGTGGATCCTGCCTAATCTATAAGGACAAGGGTCTACCCCTCCCCTGCCCGTCCTCCCCCCTCCCCCCCCCCCCCCAAGGAAGACTAAGGCCAGAGGGGAGGCTGAGGGAGGGAGGAGGCCTCCGCTCACTCTACCTGCCCCAGGCTGAGCTTGATGAGCCTGCCCACAACCCAGTGAGCCAGGCCCCTCCCAGGGAAGCACACCTCCAACCCCTCTGCACCTTCCCCATTCCCAGGTCCTGCCTTCTCTTCTCTCCAACCACGGGGTGAGCCTAAAGTCCTGGGTTTGAGCTTGGCTAGGGTCTCAACCTCTCTCAATCCCTCCTGCTGCAGAGGGCTTCTGGGCATCCAGAGAGGTGTCTGCGAGGGGTGGACACAGAAACACTGCCTCTCGGACCTCGAAACTCTGCTGGAAACCGTGGAGAGTGAGCCTGCCATCGGCGGGAGCATCCCAGAGGAGCTGCACAATCCTATTGGGGGTGCCTAAGGGGAGGTAGGGGATGAGTAGAGACTGTCAGGGGCCTGGCATCACAAGCTGATCTGCATCTGTATTTGTGGGACCTAATGAACCTCTGTGGTGCAGTCATTGAACCTTCTATGCATTTTCCTATTTAACTTCGCCACAACCTCAGGAGGAAATGTAGGCACAAGGAAGCCGTTCATTCCTTCCTTCAGTCATTTGTTCAGCCACGAGTGAGGGACCAGCTCCTATGGGTCTGACACCGACGCCGAGAGCTCGGCGAGGTCCGGTAATGTGCTCCGCACACGCGGGTTTGCCGCTGAGCACGCCCGCTCCACCGCCAGCCTCCGCAGCACGCGGGTCCGGCAGGTTTCGGCCCCGCGGAGCTCACGGTTTGGAAGTGGGAGACGGACAACGAACAAGTGAAGGAGAGAGACTCTAAAGACACAGAAAATCCGACGGGATGATGTGTGTGTGGGGAGGGGGGACAGGGAGGTGGGGGACAGAGGGCGGGCGGGAATGAGCTGAGCATCCGCTAAGAGGCGGCGCCGGAGGAGGCCGGGGATCGTAGGGCCAGCACCTTGCGGGCAGCGGGGACCGGCTGTGTGGAGCCGACTCCTCGGGCGCGTATTGTGGGTCCGTCGTATTGTTTTATTGTCATGAGCACCGGCCCCCCACTCCCGGCTCCCTGTGCCTGCGTCCCCTTC